CTGTTTTACATGCGAGCATTTCTCTGGCTGCTGAGCATCTGGTCAGTAATCGCCTTAACCTTACAAAGAAGTGAGCTCTGAGTGCTCGGGCTCCCCTGCTCTCGGCAATGCTAACAGTGGAAATATGACTGGGATCATTGACAAGTCACTTATGAGAAAGGAGAGAAACTCTACATAATTGGCTCTGACTCGCTTGCCCACGAAATAGAGTACGATACGTATTACCTATGCATTCTTTCTTTGATCACTGGTTTTTGTTTATGGCCATCAAACACGCTCTTTATTTTTTACGATTATCCCTTCCATGTCTCTGCATTACTTCCATCTTGTTTATTCTTTATAATAGCATACTTTTGACCAGACAAGAGCACATGTTTTTCCGCGACCCTCTAAATCCTTCTCCTCATCTATGTTAAATGAAAGATAAGCTAATGAGCCATAAAAAAAAAAAAGAATGCACCAGCCCCCTTGGACATGCTGAGGCCATCCTATCCCTTGAAGCACGGTGACCCTTACCTAGGAGCTGAGTAAGGGATTCCAGGTTTACATGCCGTGCCCTTTGGACAGGCCCATTTGGCCTCCCTAATGGGCCAATTCCAAAAAGGAAGTGAAAAGAGAGGAAACAGCCTTGTACTAGAATCTAGAAAGGCCCAGCACTGCGAGCGCTCCTATCTCTCATACATTTTATGTTTCCGCAGGCTCTGGGGTCAGACTGCTTAAATGTGAATTCTAACTCACTTGTGACTCTGGGCTAGATGCTTAAACTGCCTCAGTGTCCTCCTCTGTCGAATGGGGGGGTAATGACAGGATCTCTCTCCATGGGCAGCCGTGAAGATTTAGATGAATCCAAACATGCGCAGCATCTAGAGCTTGGCACATGGTAAGCACTAAATCACTGCTGGGTGGTATTACTATTAGCATCATTGCTATTGTTTGCTAAGTCCAGGGGCAGTTTTAGGTGAGGGTGGCTTCTGTATATTTGTCTCATGCAATAATGTTGTGATCCGATCCTATAATAATTTACAGTAGTCATGCTGAACCAGGAAGATTTTATCCTTTCTCTGAATCTAAGTTTGGCAAAGAGTCACGGAGGGCATTGAAAGGTCGTAACACCTAAACACCAAGCAAAAAAAAAAAAAAAAATTAGGTGTTTGGAGATCCCCGCTGTGGGAGCGGGGCATCCCAGACACCAAACAAGGGGCAGGGCTGCCGTCCTCGAGGATGGACAGTACAATTCCGTTTTGCAGAAGCAGCAGTTAAAAGTTCAAGACGATAAGGGACTTACTGAAAGTTCGTGCAGCTAAGTGGTGAAATTGAGTTTTCCATTTTTCATCTGTCTGACCTCAAAAATGCAACATCTCTCTAAACGCTGCATCACACTTTCCGAAAGCTTGCACGCAAGGTACATGCTAAAGAGAGATTTTATGGTTTTTGACATTTATGTTGCACACATTCAAAAGAGATAAAAATAGACTCCATGCTGCTGATATAATTACTAGAGGCTATAAAAGCCATGCAAAAATCTGGAGATGGGGTGTGGGAATAGTCGGGGGAAGAACATAAACAAGGGAGCAGTGACACAAACTAGGACAACATACTGTCCTTAATCCCTTCACTAGCTCCCCAGGTCCTGGGCGAGTCCTACCACGGAAGACCAAGAACTTGGAAGCCTCCCCATCCGCAGGCAGGGGCACTGCCAGCAAGCCACAGGTGGGCACCGCATGAGCAGGTGAGAAATGCGACTGGAAAGGGGAGGCTGAGGATTCGGTGCCCCTAAAAGAGCCCATCAATCCTAATTATCCCGCCTGCGCGCTGCTTGTGCCCTACTTGGGTTTTTATTTTTCAGTCCGGCGGGTTAGGAGAGTTTTAGACACACGAGGGTCCGAGCCTCGGGAACCTGGAGAAGAAAGGTCAAGCAGCATCGGGAAGGGAGGCCTGCGCTCGGGTCCAGGTGGCCTCGGTGCCCGGGGAGGGGGGCCCGGGCCGGGCCGTGTCCCTGCGGCACATCGGAACTGGAGTGGCACCTTGCAGGGCGGCGGCCTGCACAGACACTCAGGACACAGGAGACAGGGAGCCCCGTTCGAGAAGATGCCCTGCTTATTCCCTCCCAGCTCCCTGCTCACGGCCTTTCACCTTTTCAGGATGCAAGCTGAGAGCCATCCTAGCCTGTCGTCCCAAGTGACACGCTGCCCACAGTTGCAGCAAGGCCCTTGCACTCCTGCAACCCTACTCCGGCCTCACCCGCAGGCATGGTGACAAAGCCCACCGAGCCCCCAGAGGATGTACATCTGGAGAGCCCAGCTCTGCAGAGGGCCCGGGGGGCCTGGGGGGGCCCAGTCGGCTGCTCAGCTCACCATCCAGGGTCCCCGGGGAGCCCGATGCGCAGGGACCTGCTCCTCCCTCTCCCTCTGGCCTTCTCTCCACTCATGCTCTAGGTCTCTGTCTCCCTCTCTCAAATAAATAAATAAAATCTTAAAAAAAAAAAAAAAGCCCAGACGGC